AATTGTAACAGTCAAACACACCAAACCAACAATTACTAAAAGTAAAAACACACACACAAACAGATTTTGCACGGGCACTTTACACTAGTTTACAATAATATCCAGAAGTGAATCATTCACACTCGGGAACTGTTGTGGACTATCTGTATGATAACTTCACGGTCTTCAACATCATCTGAACTGCTACTGCTGTTTCTGTTTGATTCTCCAGGTTTTGATTTGACCAGTAATGCTCTCGCCGGGCGTCTGTTTGGCATTCCTGTGGCGGGAACAATGGCACACTCTTATGTCACTTCCTTCTCCTCCCTGGAGGAGGTGTGGCCACAGGTGGGGACGACATTTCAGTGTTTCTGATCAATATGAATTTACTTCATATTTCTTTATACACACACTACCGTTCAAAAGGAACATCTTTTTTTGTGCGTGACTGTTTTCTCTTCTGCTCAAAAAGGCTGCATTTATTTGATCAAAAACACAGTGAAAATTTTTAAATGTAAAAAAAATTTTTTAACGTAAATATATGTGTTAAACTGTAATTTATTCCTGTGATCAAAGCTGAATTTTCAGCATCATTACTCCAGTCTTCAGTGTCACATGATCCTCCAGAAATCACTCTAATATGATGATTTGATGCTCAAGAAACATTTCTCATTATTATCAATGCTGAAAAGTCATATTTCAGTGGAAACTGTGATACATTTTATTTCTCAGGATTCTCTGATAAATAGAAAGTTCAACATTTTTAATTGTGCTGCATTGATTGATTTAATGGTTCCTTGCTGAATAAAAGTATTGATTCCTTTAAAAAAGAAAGCTTATGTGTTGTTATATCTGCATGTGTGACGCCAGACTCTGGTTCCCTGTGGTGGCGACGGCCCGATTGACTTCATCTGTCTGGTGAAGGGTTGGCTGGGTCGCGTCTGCCAGCTTTTGGGCTCAAAACCGAACCTCATTCGAGAGGGCGAACTCGCGGCCTTCCTTTCTTACGCCATCGCTTATCCTCAGAACTTCCTCCCTGTGATCGACAGCTACAGTGTCAGCTGGTGAGACACTCCCCGAGGCACGTGATGATGGTGTATGTTGATGTTTTATCTGTCTGTAGATGAGTGTGTGTGTGTGTGTGTGTGTGTGTGCAGCAGTGGTCTGCTGTGTTTCTGTGCTGTGGCGTTGGGTCTGGATGAGCTGCAGTATCGGCCGCTGGGCGTCAGGCTGGATAGTGGCGACCTCTGCAGGCAGTCGCTGGAAGTGCGCCGAGTCTTCAAAGAATGCAGCAAACAGTGAGACATTTCCTATTTTTATATTTTTTTTACAATATTGCTGCGTCTCAATTCGACTACTTTTACTACGCCCTAAAATTATGTACTCTTTCAGTGAAGAAAAAGTGCTTACTTTTGAGTGTGTAGCAGGAGAGTACACAAGCTTTGGGACGTACTTTCACGTCATACTAGTGCCTCTTTAACGGTTGATCTCTGTCGGATCCTGACCAAGGGGGTAATCCACCAGCCGGAATAACAGCGAATAACTTTACATCTGAGGCATTTAAAGACTCCATTTGTCCATTATTTATTTCTAAAGAAACAACAATGTATAAAAGGCTCCATTACTTTGTATCTTACGTTATGGCCCCGTAGAAGCCGTTTTTGTAAAAATAGGCTAACGATTGCGTCATAACCACGGGACGCTCTGTCGCCCAGTAGAGAAATTACCATATAGAGAGCCTAAGCCCCTCCCCTTCCGGTCGACCACCATGGGCCCTTATTTCAGAAAAATATTATATGGTAGTCAATGGCGAGAGACAACAAATATTTTGATCTCGTTTGAATTGTGCCCTGAATTACACATATGATGTTTGTCCATTTAAAAGATACATTTTAAAGTCAAGAAAGTCGCAATTTGATGTAAAACTGTTGAGGTAAAATACGTAATTACAAAGACTACAAACCCCAGAGGCGCACATTTTCTCTCAATTAATGAAGCTAACTTTACAGAAGCTAACTTTACTGAAGCTAACTTTACTGAAGCTAACTTTACTGAAGCTAACTTTACTGAAGCTAACTTTACTCGCAATGACAAAAAAAAATTTTTAATAGCTTTATTTTTAACCAAGTTTAACTAAAATCCTAAAAAATGACTTAAAATAAACTAACTTAAATGCTATAAAATGAAACAAAAACTAAAATTATTTCAGCTAGTTATCAAGGCATTATTTCTATAAGTTGACGGAATAAAATAACAAAATCTAAATAAACAGAAACTTAATAAAAACATATATATTTTAAAAACTAATACAAATTACAAAAACACACAGAATTACAAAAAATGTAACTAAAATTAAAATGAAACTGAAAATATATAATAAAATGTAAATTATAAAAGGCCCCCTGTAGTAAATAATTGTATCCCTTAAAATCTCACCTTTGATCACCAAAACTACATTTAAATGTTTTTCCTTGAAAACAAAAACTTTCCTTAAAATAGCTTGAATGTAACTCGACACCCTTGCCTCATTTAGTATGCGCGGTTCTATGAATATGCAAATGAGCCCCGCCTCCACTCACTCACTCACTCAGAGATCCACTGGTTGACGATCACACGTTGATCTGATTGGTTACAAGGTCGTTTGTGACGTCAGAAACACCAGCGATTTCAAACCGTGTTTTTGAGACTGTCTTTGGTTCACTGCAGTTTTAAGCAGAAAATACTCAGCAATGCTGTCGACTTATGAACTTACACATGGTTTGTCTTAAAGCGTATTAAAAACACCACATAGACACATAAACAACATTAAAAACTATATGCATCAACCACAGGTGGACTTTAAACAGACACTCTAACAGCAAAGCAAAGACACTTAAATAACGCAGATCTGTGTGTGTGTGTGTGTGTGTAGTTTCTCAGTTCCTCAGTTTGAGTCTCTCCTCATCGTCGGCACAAACAGTATTTCTGAACAGAGTCTCTCTGAACTCAACAAGAAGGTAAGAGCTTTTCATAACGACGGCAACGTTCATGTGCAGTGAGACGTGTACATTACCTGTCTGTCTGTCTGTCTGTGTGTCAGGATAATGAGATCGATGTGGTCGGTGTCGGGACTCATCTGGTCACATGCACACGTCAGCCGTCTCTCGGGTGTGTTTATAAGGTACCGAAAGCTCGGCTTGTTTTTATTCTCCTTTCTCCACTGTCGCATTTTCCGCCTTTGGCTTTTGGCTGGCCTAGTTAGGGACATTCAATTTAATATTCAACAATATTATTGATCTGGATTGACACCATTATATGAGAACTGAACTGAGCTGGACGATGACATCACGGTTTACTCCAGAGCGGCTATATATATATATATATATATATGAACTAAATTAATAACTTTTTTTTTTTACAACAAAAATGAAACATCACTGAGCTTACTTAAGCTGGACTGTGATGCTATTGTCTTCTAGAAACAAACTTTGTTGCATTATTTTCCTGTTATCTCTGTAAAGCTGCTTTGAAACACTCTGTATTGTAAAATAAAGCTGACACAATACATCATAATACAATACCCACATGATCCATCGTCAAATCTTTGATTTACAGTATTAACGTATGTGTGCAGTCATGATATGTTGCAGGTCGTAAAGTAACGTAAACAAACTTATATAAAAGCAAATTCGTAGAGGCTATTACATTAATAACTTAGTCTAACATGATAATTCATACATGCATCACAGTATGTCCGGATTTTGATTCGTAAACAGTTGGACGTTTTACATAATGTTATATTAATATGAAACACAAACAAACAGATCCAACTCTGAAATTGTAGTTTATTATTGAGTCAACAAGAAATTACAAACAATGCGAAATCTACGTTAATTACAATGTTCCTTTACAGAACTCGGCATACGCACAACCGGCGCTACGTCATAGAATGTCTCTGAACAGATTCACGCCCACTTTTGGGGGAAATAAACTAGACTTCCCATAGACTTCAATACAAAATAGCGTCACAACACAACGTCCGTACACAGCCGAAAGGCGTGAATATCTTAAGAAATCATTAAGATTAAACATGTCAAGTAATTATATGTCCACCCTGTCTGCCATAGAGCGTAAAAGATACATACACAAACTTAATTTGGTCAATTTAAAAACATGTCCCTTCATTCTCCCAGCGTCAAATTGGTGTAACAACCCCACCCAGTGGCCAGAGGTGTCTTTCTTTTACTGTCTATGGTCTTACCCTGACATTTACTCGTATCGTACTTCATCGAGTCACCATGGTAAGCCAGTGAATGATTTTACTTCGTTTTTGAAAGTAAACGTCTTTAAATGTATATATTTTGTCTTATAATATACATTATAATATATATAACCTCACTGGGTGGGGTTGTTACACCAATTTGACGCTGGGAGAATAAACGGACATGTTTTTAAATTGACCAAATTAAGTTTGTGTATGTATCTTTTACACTCTGGCAGGCAGGGTGGACATATAATTACTTGACATGTTTTATATAAGTGATTTCTTAAGTTATTTACTCCTGTCGGCTGTGTACGGACGTTGGTTTTTGCCGTTATTTTGTATTGAAGTCTATGGGAAGTCTAGTTTGTTTTCCCCCAAAAAGGGGCGGGGACGAAATTGACAGTTAAGTTCCCGGATGTGCCGGTTGTGCGTATAACAGATAGCGGTTTTGTGCCTCCTGGATGCGCGCGCATCCGGTATTGTATTTTTTTTCTTTTCTTTTTTCTCGGTATTGTTTGTACACAAGAAACCCGTGTATCACTCACCCTGTGGTTCCCTCTCTCTTTAGCTGATAGAGGTCAGAGGTCGTCCCAGAATGAAGTTCAGTGAAGATCGAGAGAAAAGCACATTGCCTGGAAGAAAGTCTGTCTATAGGCTTCTGGACACAGACGGTCAGTGTTTATCTCTTGCGATTTATATATATATATATATATATATGAAGAGTTCAGATGCAAAAGCCCAAAAGTGCCATCTGACATTTTCTTCTAGAATGATGATTTTTATCAAGCTTGTATATTTAGATTCAGTAATTTCACTTGAATGACAATTAATAGGTAATTTTCATTGTCATTTAATTGAAATTACTGAATGTAGCAATGTTCAGGGAAGAAGGAGGCGGGAACCGGAGAACAATCACATAAAACTTTATTTAAATAAAATAAACAAACAAAATACCTGCCAGCAGCCCCTCACGGACGACTGCTTGCTACCAAAATAAAATATAACAAAATACAAACAAAAGCAGGCCTGTTCCTCTCTCGATCATCCACTCCGTCCGGTGATGCGAGATGCGAGACCGGTGTGCTTCACAGGTGCTGCTCATTAGCAATCGCACCACCGGCCTCGCGACGTTCTCTCACGTCCCTCGGCCATCCTGCTCACCACACTGAACATAAATATACGATATCAGATGGCACTTATGGGCTTTTGCATCTGAACTCTTCATATATACACACATATATACATACACTGCCGTTCAAAGGTTTAGGATCGGTACGTTTTTAATGTTTTTAAAAGAAGCTCACCAAGGCTGCATTTATGTGATTAAAAATACTGTAAAAACAGTAATATTGTGAAATATTATTCTACTGTAAATCAGCTGTTTTCTATGTGAATATACAGTAAAGTGTAATTTATTCCTGTGATCAAAGCTGAATTACTCCAGTCTTCAGTGTCACATGATCCTTCAGAAATCACTCTAATATGACGATTTATGATCAAGAAACATTTATGATTATTATCAATGTTGAAAATAGTTTTTTTGATAAATAGAAAGCTCAAAATAACAACATTTATCTTAAATAGATTTATCGATTTGTAAAATTATACACTACCACATGTATAATCTATACACTTTTTTATTTTCATCAAGGATGCATTAAATTGATCAAAAGTTACAGTAAAGACATTTATAAGTTACAAAAGATTCTATTTCAAATAAATAAAATAGATCTTTCTATTCTACTTTCTAGACTGGAGTAATGATGCTGAAAATTCAGCTTGATTTAATTGCAGAAATAAATTACAATTTTAACATATATCCACATAGAAAACACGTTTTAAATTGTAATAATATTTCACAATATTACAGATTTTTTTTGTTTTGTATTTTTAATCAAATAAATGCAGCCTTGGTGAGCAGAAGAATAAAGACATTAAAAACCGTTCCGATCCCAAACTTTTGAACTGCACTGTGTGTGTGTGTGTGTGTGTCTATATATATATATATATATATATATGTGTGTGTGACTGGAGTCTTATTCATTTTTAACTGATTTGCCAAAACTATTATTCATTTCGTTAGATTTTTACATGCAAAAAAAAAAATTACCTGCACGTTTAACCAGCTCCACATTTGCCGAAACCATTCATTCTCTGAATCGAGTTGAACTGAGTCTGTGTTTCGCAGCTCATCCGCTGATGGATCTGGTGTGTCTGTCAGAAGAACCGGCTCCTAAAGCCGGCGTCTCACTGAACTGCTTTCCTCTAGGACTGGACAAGACCGTTCAATCCATCACTCCTGCTCATGTAGCCAGTCTACGCTTGGATGTCTTCTCCCGTGGACAGGTCAGCGCGTCCAATATCAGCGCTTCATTCATTAAAGGAACACGCCACCGTATTTTTAAATAGGGGTTATTCACCGTCTCCCCTACATTTAGATAGGTTGGCAAACGCATTTTTGTCTCTGTGTATGCATTGTCTTAGTCTGGCAGCATCGACGCTAGCTTAGCTTAGCATAATGAATTGAATCCTTTGTTGCCGGATAGCATAGTGAGTAAAAGTGATCAAACTGGTGGCAAAAAATGGTGGCGTGTTCCTTTAAAGGAGAACCATAGAGTTTAGTTCTTGTCTCTATGAAGCTCCTCCTTCTGAAAAGCACACTGCGCTCTGATTGGTCGGCTGGAGCAGAGTGCTGTGATTGGTCGAGCGCTTCACGTGTGTTTGGGAAATGTCCCGCCTCTTACCATAACCACCAGTTTAACACACTACTAACTAACTCAACCAGGCTCCGCCCCTTTATTCTGTGAATGAATTATTGTGACGTGTTCGTTCTACTAATGTGATTTAACACTTTATTAGCAAATCTGATGTTGCTAAAATATTCCTAGCATGAATTACCACAAAGCTAGCATGTTTTAACATGTTGCTAGCATGATTTGGCACACTGTTAGCATAAATTAACACATTGCTAGAATGTTTCTAGCAGCAATTAGCACATACATGTTTTAGCATTTTTCTAGCATGAAATAACAAATTGTTAGCATTTTTCTTACATGAATTGGCACATTGCTAACATGTTTTAGCATTTTGCTAGCATGATTTAACATGTTGCTTGCTAGCATGTTTCTAATATGAATTAGCACAACTCTAACATGTTTTAGTAAATTGCTAGCATGAATTAACAGTTTTAACACATGGCTAGCATATTTTAACATGTTGTCCTAGGCTAGTTGTTAAGCTTTGCTAGTGATTAAATACTATATATATGTTTTGACCCCCTTAATGATAGTTATGTTATAATTCGTTCTTGGTGTGAACATTTAGAGAAAGAAATGTTAGTCTCAGAAGAAGAAGTAGTTTAAATAGCCTTTCAGTTTAGCTAACATAATGAGCTCAAATCTACAGATGGGAACTCCAATGCTGATTACATAGGCATATGCATTTTTTGTACAGAAGCTAATTGAGGTGTGTGTTTGTGTGCACAGATCACATTCCCCCTCAACAGCGCATCAGAGAGTCGTGAGCGCGCACAGATTTCTCTACAAACGCTGCATCCTCACCACAGGAGACTACAAGAGCCGCACAATTACACGGTGAGTTCAAATATAGCAACTGCAAATGTATAAGACATTGCTAACGTGACTTAACACTTTGTTAGCAAATTTCAACATGTTCCTAGCATGAATTAGCGCAATGCTAGCATTTTTAAACATGTTGTTAACATGATTTAACACACTGTTAGCATTAATTAACACATTGCTAACATGTTTCTTGCATCAATTTAACACATGCCATGTTTTAGCATTTTATTAACATGTTAGCAAATTTTAGCATGTTGTTAACATGTTCCTAGCATGAATTAGCACAATGCTAGCATTTTTAAACTTGTTGTTAACATTATTTAACACACTGTTAGCATCAATTAACACATTGCTAACATGTTTCTTGCATCAATTTAACACATGCCATGTTTTAGCATTTTATTAACATGTTAGCAAATTTTAACATGTTGTTAACATGTTCCTAGCATGAATTAGCACAATGCTAGCATTTTTAAACTTGTTGTTAACATTATTTAACACACTGTTAGCATCAATTAACACATTGCTAACATGTTTCTTGCATCAATTTAACACATGCCATGTTTTAGCATTTTATTAACATGTTAGCAAATTTTAGCATGTTGTTAACATGTTCCTAGCATGAATTAGCACAATGCTAGCATTTTTAAACTTGTTGTTAACATTATTTAACACACTGTTAGCATCAATTAACACATTGCTAACATGTTTCTTGCATCAATTTAACACATGCCATGTTTTAGCATTTTATTAACATGTCAGCAAATTTTAGCATGTTGTTAACATGTTCCTAGCATGAATTAGCACAATGCTAGCATTTTTAAACTTGTTGTTAACATTATTTAACACACTGTTAGCATCAATTAACACATTGCTAACATGTTTCTTGCATCAATTTAACACATGCCATGTTTTAGCATTTTATTAACATGTTAGCAAATTTTAACATGTTGTTAACATGTTCCTAGCATGAATTAGGACAATGCTAGCATTTTTAAACTTGTTGTTAACATTATTTAACACACTGTTAGCATCAATTAACACATTGCTAACATGTTTCTTGCATCAATTTAACACATGCCATGTTTTAGCATTTTATGAACATGTTAGCAAATTTTAGCATGTTGTTAACATGTTCCTAGCATGAATTAGCACAATGCTAGCATTTTTAAACTTGTTGTTAACATTATTTAACACACTGTTACCATCAATTAACACATTGCTAACATGTTTCTTGCATCAATTTAACACATGCCATGTTTTAGCATTTTATTAACATGTCAGCAAATTTTAGCATGTTGTTAACATGTTCCTAGCATGAATTAGCACAATGCTAGCATTTTTAAACATGTTGTTAACATTATTTAACACACTGTTAGCATCAATTAACACATTGCTAACATGTTTCTTGCATCAATTTAACACATGCCATGTTTTAGCATATTATTAACATGTTAGCAAATTTTAGCATGTTGTTAACATGTTCCTAGCATGAATTAGCACAATGCTAGCATTTTTAAACATGTTGTTAACATGATTTAACACACTGTTAGCATCAATTAAAACATTGCTAACATGTTTCTTGCATCAATATAACACGTACTATGTTTTAGCATGTTGCTAACATGATTTAGTATTTTGCTAGCATTAACATGTTTTAACACATGGCTAGCATTGTTTTAGTATGTTTCCTAAGTCCTAGGCTAGTTGTTAAGCTTTGCTAGTGATAGACAGCTTAAATACTCAGAAATCAGAGTTATAAAATATATAAAAGTTTTGCCCTGACTACAAGAGCCGCACAATTACACCGTGAGTTCACTGTAATTAATATAGCAACTGCAAAATGCATAAGATATTTACAGACTGAAACATTTTCTTCAAGGTGGCTTTATCGGAGCGGCTGCACTCCCTGGTCTCTGATATCACAAAAGGAAACGGTAAAGGCAGCAACTTCCTGCTGTCGAACTGAAGCCGGAGCCCAGACCAAAGTCACAGCCATTAAATCTAAAGGATAAGGTGCTTCAGAGACGAATGAATGATCTAGTAATATATGCAGCAATGGTGCATTTTATGATTAACTAATAAAATATGTGATTAACGAAAATTATTATTTACTGTTATATATAATATAATAAAGTTTTTATGAATAAAAGTGAACTGACTCATGACTATCTGTGGTTTGTGGCTTTGTGCAACA